TTAGCAAATGTGAAACAACACGGTTAAGACCTCTTTAATCGTGGCTTTTGTTTGGATGCAATGTGTGAAGCTCTGAACTCAGTGCTCTTAATTATACATCTTTTAACCACCGACATATAATTGCCTTGCAATTTAAAATGCATTTGGGGATTCCATTGCCTAAAAGGGTCTTAATGTACCTTGTATGTCAAATTCTGAGCGTAAGTTTAAGAATGTATCCAACCCACAAGATTTAAATACTTGAGTATTTTCAGCAAAATTACCGATTGATTTTTGGGGCCAAAATGCTTTGGGTTTTCTAATAGTGACTAGCCCATTAACTTCTTTGTAGACTACAGATGATGTCAGGAACCAAACTGCTGTATGACAATACTCAGTATGGTCTAGTGAAGATTCCCCCTCAAAGTTTGCTGCTACACTGTTTCCCAGCCTCTCTGAAAGACTTTGTTTTGGGAGAGGGTAGGTGGAGTGCAGGGCTATACCTTTGTTGTCTTGGAGCTGGTGTGCACTGCAAGGGAACTGATTATGCCTGCTTGCCAGTACTAAAAGCAGTTGGGAGCTGGCTTCTTCCTATGCCTGACAGCAGGTGCTGACGGCTGCACAGGTGTGTACCTGTCTGTATTTAAGTCTTTAATTTCTCTTTTTACAGTCACTTTGCAAACCACATTCTGTTGTCTTATGGACCACCAGTGGCTGCACACAGCAGGGAAAGTAGCTTTGCTCTAAGTGGTGATGTCGCAGAGTGTGGCTGTGCTGTGTCCTGCCTGTCTTTCCAATAAAGCCTTGCTGGGATGCTAAGTTTGTTGCTCTTCACATGTCCAGATAGGGCTTTTACCAGGGGGAGAATATTTTCTTCCAGTCAGCTGCTCGGTAATAAAAAGTGGGAGAAGGGGAGAAATGAATGTGTTACCAAATTACAGATGTTAGTAGTAACCTCATAAGAACATATAAAATTCCCTGCTGGGTCATATCAGGGGTCGATCCAACTTAGTGTTCTGTTTTGGGCAGCAGGAGTAAGTGATGCTGTTTAGGAGAGCGTGAAAGCCCAGCCACTTTTTAATGTTTTCATCTCTTACTCCTCCAACATCCATATTTGTTAAATTAGGCATGGTAGCAGGGACATCACTTAGGTCCCTATTGTCTGTGAACTTTTCTGCTGTCTTTTTGAACCTGATGGCACTGTCTGCTTCCATATCCTTCTGTGACAGCAAGTTCCAGCAGTTCACTACCCGTGAGTAGTAAAAATGAAGAAGTCCTTCTTTAATATGTTTTGAGTCAATCTCTTATTAACTTTACCAAGTACCCCTGGTTCTAATATTGTGTGATATGGTTTATGACCATTCTATAGTCACCTTATCCCCTACTGTGATTTTTTTAAACCTCAGTCATGTCTTGCATCGTTTGGTAATGGCACACATTTTTGGGTTCTCTTCTGGTCTTTGCCCCACTGCTTCAGACTAGATAAAAATCTTTTATTTAGAGGCAGCTGTTTAAGGAAAATCTAGGTTCCTCAAGAAGCAGCCTCTGTTTTCTCATTCATGGGTTGTTGCTAAAGCCAGTTTGAGCATATGGAGGCATAAATTATGTTTCTGTTGAACGTTTCTACAGCTTCAGTGTAGAGTATATATGCAAAACCCAAAACAGCTTTCAGAAAGTTTTGTACCCTGATATTTTTTGAGCGAAGTACAGCTGCTTAAGCATTTGATTTTTCCAGGGGAAGTCCATGTTTCCGTCGTCTTTTACTGATTCCTGTGGGACAAAAATAATTTCTCCCCCACCCACTATTTAGCTAAGCATAGTTTCAGTTCTCTTCAATTAAGCTACATGTGCCTATTCCATTCTTGTGCTTTTTATGTAGCAGCAACCAAGTTCTGCCAAGGGCTCCCGTATATTTTGTTCAAAGTAAAATACTGCATCAAATTAAATCAGAATCAATAAATTTAAAAGTCTTTTTTTGTTGGATGGTTGTTTTTTTTTCTGTAATATATATATAGTATGCTATGGTAGTAAAAATAAAAATCTCTTTTTAGATTAAGCAAAACTCCAGTCTCTGATCCTGACAGCATATCCACATAGTGCCACTGTCTTTTGGGGCGTCTGTGTAAGAATCTACCAATAAAGATATAATTGCAAGTTTGAGAGAGCAGCTGTAGGGATTTTTGTAGTATAACATTGTCTGCTAGGTATATTAGCTTTATTTTTGTTCGTTGCACTGTAGCTGCGCTAATTGATTTGTATCACGGTTTTTAACATGGTTATATTTGCATGAGCTTCTCTTAGTGTATATATAAACCTAAAAATTCGCGTTCAAGCTCATTGGTTTCCCTGAGGATTATGGTCAGTATTTTTGCTTAAATGTTTCATATGGCATTGTACTTGTGCCCTGTATCTTTCAGACCAGTGAGAAGTAAAACACTATGCCTGCCTTAACACAGTCAAGTTAAATGCAAAAATAAGACTTAATTATGTGTTAAATCCAAAAATAAGACTAGGGGCACAAGAATAAATCCAGGATTGTAGTGTCTGGGAACTGTGGAGGAGATTCTTTACAGAAGCTTAACGGAGGCACACCAGGTATGCATTTCTTGCTGTTTACTTTGGAACCATTCTGAGGAACTGTTGCTTGATAACCTTCACTAAAGAAATATTGCTGGGTTGTGCAAAAGAGAAGGTCATTGATCTGTCAAAAACTCTGCAAAGCATGATGATAGTAGCTTAAAAGAAGGTGGTAAATAAAACAGAAAGAAATAGAGAGCAGCATGTGAGTCACCCCAACTGCAGGATGTACTTGTTCTTTCAAGCTTTCCATCCTGTCCAGTATATGCCACCAAATACAAGCTTTGGTTAACTGTTGAGAGAAGCAAACTCCAGAGCAAAAGGCTTTCCAAAAGCTTTGTTGTGAGTATGAGATGCAATTAGCTAAGACTCATTTGAGTCTACTTTTAGCTCATTAGCTAAGACTCATTTGAGTCTACTTTCGCTGCAATAGTAATGGAGGAGGCTTTCAAACATATGGGACCCAAACCCAGATCACAGCTCCTGTAGTGGGCATGTCATCATGGGATTTGTGTTTTTCCTTCATGTTGTTGCTGGATAATACTGAAGTCTGTGTCAGTATCTGCCTTAGCAAAGGTGTCTGAAAGGATTATTTGGTTCTCAGCATGCTAAAGAAGAGATAGTTCCCTCTTCCCATTCTGTGTTTTTGAAGGGCACAGCCAACAATGAACTTTGTTAGGGCTGATGTGTTGTGAAGGGTCATACTCCAGTGATTAGTTTCAAATATATATAGTATGTGCTCTGTACTTTGATGTGCTTCCATGCTTCGAGAGAAGTTGGTGAAGGTGTTTGGAACTGGATTAGATGTCCGTGGTTGTGTTCTGGCTCTCTGATGTAAGCAAAGTGCAAGGCCGCTGCCCCTGGGGGTGTGTGCTTGCATGTGTGCATGGAAAGGGAACTATGTGTATAGAGAGGAAATATGAAATGATCCTTATTATTGTCAAATGATTAATCAGGTCACTTGTGCTAGTTACATTTTGTAGCATGTGTCTCCATTCTGTATGCTGTGTACGCTGCACGTGTGCATATACAGCTGTTTCAAGAAGTGTGAGTGTTTTAAAATTTTTAGTAGTCTTCTGACTTACTGCTTCTACAGCTAGATGTATGTTAATAAAAGGCCTGGTTTATGCAGTTTACTGTTAGAAGAGTGATAGGGTGTTTTGTTTTACCTTAGTGACTTAAAGTTGCTTTTCTAGATCCCCCAGTGCCATCATGCTTGTCCTTTTCTCAAGGCGCTCTTATACAGTGCAAAGTGAAGGCTTGTACCTTCACAAGAGGAAGCTGCATCTTTCCTGCAAAGTCTGTGTAGGCTCCTTCCTTGCAGTTGTGTTCTTGCCATTTTGGGCCGTGGGAAACACGAGTTGACTGAGGTGGTAATCTGTACGTTTGTCATATGCCTGTAATTTATTACATGTTTCCTGAATATCACCTCTGTGTACATTCCTTTGCTTGGTGTATAACACATATAAAACTGAACTGAGTACTGAATATACCATGTTCAAAAGAGTTTAATCCAGTGCTTCATGATGGCCTTTCTGAATAAAAGCTGCTTTTTGCAGGGTAAGCTGAGTGGAACAGAGTAGCTGCAGAATATGTGTAGTGTTAATTTTATTTGAAGCTGCTTTAGGATGTTTTGGTTTGGTTTTTTTGGGTTTTTTTTGCTTTTTCTTTTGTAAAGTTGATTACCAAAGACTCCATAGTGTTGGGAAATGAAAAAATACCTTATAATTGCATGGATTTGCACTACATGAGTCTGTTCCAGGGGGAAAAAAAACCATCCTCTTGATGAAATGACATTTCAGCCCTCCTGGTATCTATGGGAGTACTGCCTCTGACATGATTAATGCCTGCATTTACCTAAAATAGGTACAGTAAGGATGGAGAAGGTCTGAAGAACCGTGGTGACCTTAGGAAGGACTGCCTGTTGATGCTTGCAGAAGCTGTGGGCAGCCAAAAGATCTGAAGATTGTTTGTCAGGTTTGTCATCTTGCGCTGCCTGATGAAATTAAAATTTTGCAGAGCAAGGATAGTCACCAGCATTTTTGTAAGCAAAGATACTTGAAGTAAAACCTCTGCAATCAAATGACTTAAATCATCATTCAGCTTGATTCCTGAAAGCAAGTGATCTAATCTGACACTTAACCTTTTTCAGCTTGTAGCTCGTAATCATTTTCTGGTAGGTGACTGGAGTTTTGTTTAACGGGTTTAGGTGCAGTGGCGGTAGAATTTTATTTCCCCCAACAATTTCCTTTCATGATTTCCAAAGATCTGTGACTACTGATTGAGAAGTATTGTGCTAGTGGATTTGGCTTATTGGATGCTAGCTGAACCACAGGTTTAGTGGCTACATCTAGACACTTACTTATGAAAGAGTAATAATATCTATTTTATTCTGACTGACCTTTTTGATATTTTCCTTAGACAATCTGCTTCATCTTGATTCATCATCATTCCAGGATAGCAGTGTCCTTGGGGCTCCCTCTTAACATTGATATGGTACAGAAGATTTAAAATCAGGTATTGTTTTGGGTGCCTCTTTCCTCTAAAATGAAATACACAATCTAGGACTGAATGCATTCTTTTTCCTTATGTGATTTGTCTTAATATTTTGATTATTTCAGCTGATGTTCACAAGGAATAGAGTCACGTGATGTATGAAGGCAAACACATACACTTCTCTGAGGTTGACAATAAGCCCTTGTGCTCATATAGCCCCAAACTGTGCAAGCAGAGGCGACTTAACGGCTACGCCTTCTGTATCAGACACGTTCTGGAGGACAAGACTGCCCCCTTCAAGCAATGTGAATATGTGGCCAAGTATAACAGCCAACGCTGCACCAACCCCATCCCCAAATCTGAGGACCGTAGGTGAGTTGTGGTTACCGATCTGCGAAGTGGGAAGTGCCTGGGACATAGGCATGAGTTTTCTTTTAAGATGCTGCCTGATTTCAGGATGAGGGAGGAACTGGCCTGAGTGGATTGAATTCCAGGATGTTCCTTTGAGGGTTTTGTTTTAAGCCCAGTAAATTTTATTTTGTTTTCTGTGGGAGTAAAGTACTCAGAAAGTGGGCAGTAACTTACTCCCAGGGAAATTTTTGGGAGAGTTCATTGCTTTTCTCAAATTCACTGTAAACTGTTTATCAAACCTGCTACACAATACCTGCTGTTCTAATTAATTTGCTTTGTCACTCGCAGTATGTGCTCTTAAAAGGGCCTGCTTGTTTGGCCAGCTGTGCCAGAAGTACACTTCCATCTACTTTTTCAGGACAATTGAAAATGCATACCTTCTGGGCTTAGTGAAGTGACACGTAGGGATGAATCCAGAATTACGGTTCAATGTTTGTGATTTGATATTGGTCTGTAACGTTGTATTACTGGAATAAAAAAAAATTACTTGATAGTAGATGAGCCAGCTGGGAAAGTGCTGTCCATTCCCTTTCTTTTTTGCTTCCCCTCTTCCTCTCCCCATTGCTGCCCAAATGAAGATGCCCAAGGTGCCCAGGTATTAAATGCCTTGCAAGAGATAGTCCTTGAAGTTGTTGGAGAGCTGGGAATTCAAACCAGATTTCCTGAATTGCAGCCTGTGCTGTAACCGTTCTTCCTTGCTCTTTAAGACTTCCTGAACATCAGTCTCATTGGTGTTGTTTGGGCTGAAATACCAGTATTTGTCTGATCTTGGCTACCAGGTGTATATGACTTTAATTTTTCAGAGTCATTGTTGAAGATTTTGCCAGTAACACAGTATTTAATTAACGTGTGTTAACTGTCTGAGGCTTGTTCTGTTAGAAATGCATCTTTTAACCTAAAATATAAACCAAATATGCCAAAAAAGAATCAAACCACTATTCACTGACCTTTCACATTATTAGCTGCAATTCACTAACCTTTTGCATTATTAGCAGTGTTCCCACTGTGCCCTACATATAACTTCCTTCTCAGCTCACAGCTCCCTCTCTTGTCTGAAACAACAGTTGGACTGTGCTCTAAATTAACTTGCACTTCACCTGCCATTTCAGCTGAGGAGACTGATGAAGTGAGAAAAAAACATGAATGTTTGTCAAAAGCTGTAGGGCAAATGCTCAAATGGCACAAGATGAATAACTTCAAGCTGTAATTTGACAGTTGGTGACTGTTTCTTTGCTACTGTACAGTTGAGGCTCTTTGCAAATAAGCTCGCAGAAATGATCATGGAAATTGCTAGCGCAAATGGTATGCTGTAATTTCAGATACAAGAGCTGACTGAGCCAGAGTTGCTGTTTGCCAGGGGTCATGCTTGAAAACAATAGAAAAGATACTACTTAAGGACACTTTTTTAGGTTTCATATGTTCCCATGGAATTTGAGATTTTTCTTTACACCTTGAACTGAGTTCACACTTTGTTCTTTTTGATTTTTCTCAAGTTGAAGTGGAGTGTGGTCATGACATCTGGTGTATGTTATATTAGAATAATTCAGTTGCATGTCGAGTGTCACATTACAGTACTTGAAGAGGACAGCAGGTGTCTGAAGGAGAAAATAAACTTTTAATTTCAAATGAGAGGATGTGATAGTTTGAAAGAATATTTTAAAAGACTGCTTCTCAGGGCAGAGTTTAATTTTAACAATAAAATTTAGTGAATGCTAGTGATAAGACTGTTTCTGTTCTAAACATTTTTTTGGGGGGGGGCAAACCTGTATCTGTTTCTTGGGAGACTTTTTTCACACTCTGTTCAATATAAAGATGTTTGCTGTGTCTGAGTTTTTCACTCATAGCTTTTAATTTTCTGTGTACAAAATTACTGTCAGATGGTCATTTTGTCACAGTTTTAGACATGTAACTGTACCTGATCAGAAGCAGGCTGTATGATGCTCTGACAGCTGTCTTCTTACATACTTTTAAAGATCATAAAAAAATAAAATGTCTTAACAAGATGCATGCATTATATGCCAAGAGTTTCATAGTCTGTCCACAGATAATTAAAAAAAATTGTCACTTGACCCCAGACAAATGAGATGCCACCAGCCACAAAGATGTTTAATATGCTGCTATATTATTAGATTTCTTATTAACCATTAGCATTCTACAGATTAAATCTATTAATAGTGCATGACTTCATTGCCTTATTTGAAGCTAGTTTCTCTATTCACTATCTTATTTTTTTTAAGGGTATGTATGGGATGATACAGACATGGGTTCTGTATCTGTATTTCCTCTGAACACGTCTCCTAATTCTTTCTTATCCAAATACATACATGGATAATGAAGTTCAACTTAATTTTTAAGTATAGGGTTATTACAATTTAGCTGGGTTAGACACCATGTTATCTCTAATTCTTCTCTTTCAAGAGAATCTTTGAATATTTTGTTTATATGCAAGATGCTCTCCAGTTTATTTGGATCTTCCTTTAAATAAGTGACACAACTTGCTACCAGTCTGGGATATACTGAGAAGCAGAATGCAGTTGTGGGTGGAAAACCTTGCTGTCTGGATTTGTGCCCTCCCAATGATTTGGGAAACTGTGCAGCTGAAGCCTTCAGAGCCCATCACCTTTTGTGTGCTTCATGTTACGATAGTTTTAATGGATATCAACCCACTGCTCTTACCAAATGTGCTGACTTCCTTCGACGTCACCTGCACAGAGTGAGTGCCTTTGGCACTCACCAAGGAAGGGGGAAAAACCTGTATTAGATACTCAGTGTGATACTGTCAGCTGAGAATAACTCACAGGTATGGAAGTGACAAATTGTGCACATAAGACAGGCACATCAGAAATGGCTGTCATAGAGCCATTTTGACCCTAGCGGGTTTCAAGCTCAGAGCCATGTGAAAGGGACTGTGCTACTTGCAGGTGCTATTCCAGTCTTCCCAGTAATCTGTCTTCCATGGAGCATGAATAACTAACACCTTCCCTGGCGTTATATCTGGTCCAAAGAGTTTATTGCCTTAACTCAGCTGGTTATAGGCTGGTTCCAGCAGAGTCAGTTAATGTCTGCAGCACCGTGCAAAGTCAGAGCCAGTTTGGTTCAGGGCCAACTAAAAAGCCATCCTGGAACCTGAAGGATGGGGAAGTGGGTGTGTGTGCCCGCCTGGCTCCGCATGGGACCAACTAGAGCCTGGCAAGGACACGGCTGAGTTGATGGTAATAAATTATGCCTGGCCAAAACTGCCTGCATGTAGTCTTCTCTACCCAGAGAAGACTTAAGTGCTCTTCCCAGCTTCTTCCTCCTTTTAGTCCAGCAGGCAAGGTGTTTCAGCCTCGGTTATGCTGGAGTTTATGACAGACAGACCCTAAGGCACAGAGCCAAGTCAGTGTGCACTGGAGTCTGCAAGTGCATGTGATCTGTATTTTCATGATGTTGTAGCCTGGCATCTGTGGGTTTGTGTCTAGAGGTGATGCCTGTGTAAGATGTTGCTGGCTTTCAATGATGCAGTATAGTCAGTTGTAAGAGGCAAAGCTTTATTCTCTGCCATATAAAAATGATGCTGTTAAACAAACAAGCAAAACTCTTAATATTCTAACTCAGAGGATGTGAGCAAGCTAATTACCTTTTCATAGGTTTATTCACAATTTCTATTTTTTTCCTTCTCTTTAGTTTTCACACTGAAAACAGACTAGCCAGTTTTACCTCATCACTCCTGCACAAGCACAAGGTGGCAATATTTAAGTTCTGAACAATATAAAGGAAGCATTCACATTGAGCAAAACTCTCTTTATTAGAATAAGGGGGAAAATATTCCATTGTATGTCTTGTCTGTTTATTGTTTTTTCTTCTGTCATACTAAAAGTGCTGTTCTAACTGATCTCATCAGTCTTGTTCAAACAAAATATTTTAAAAGTGCTTAATTTTGGTTATGGGAATAGTGCTGTTGACTTTAAGGGAAGCTTTATTGAGCACTCATTATATAATTTTATTTTTAGAAGTGCATCTCGTAGTAGGAGAGTGTATTCCAATAAGGACTCCACACGTTGCTGGCTTTCAGCTTGCCTCATTTAGACTTATTTATTCCTTACAACTTAATGTAATAAAGAAATTATTTAGACAATAATATGTAGCAGTACTATTCAGTCTTTTCTGATTCATGAATACTTGTGGGTGTGGATCCCTCAAGAAACTACATGTATGGAGATTGTTGAGGAGCATACATGAATTTGCTTTTTCTTTTTTACCTTTTATGGACCCTTTAGAAGCAGTTCACACATTGCTGCTTTAGGGGTGGAACAGCAAGTTGAAAGTCACTAAACTGAAGTGTTAAACCTTTTTGAGGGTTGGGTTTGGGCTTTTCTGTTTATTTTTTTTCCTCCATGAGGACCAGGAATAATTTAATTTTAATCTACCTGTTCAACAAATCTTACTTTTCTCAAATTCATACTGATCAGATTTTATACCTTCATGGTGTATTTCCGTATCTTCTACTTATTTGTATCCATGAATACGTTCATGGATATGTCCTTAGCTTGTTCATTAATATATTGATGTAGACATCACTTTTTCCTCATATCTTTGGTTTAATCTATAAGCTGCGGGTTACGGATGGGATCCTGCAAGGGCAGAAGTGTGATTGCTGGTGGCATTCTACAGAGGCAGGAGGGCTTGCCTGTGTGAAACAAGAAAAGGATCGGATCATGGTTCCTATATTTCTGTCACCTGCTTTGTTTTAATCAGAAAAAAAATTAACTGTTTGCTTCTCAGTATGTTGTCTGTGGCCTTAAATTGTAACTCTTCTTTTAATTTTCATGCCAAACTTTCAATGACTTTTTTCCCTTTTTTTTTTTTTTTTTTTAAATAACATGGCTTTAAAAGCTTTTTTGTATTAGAAGAGCATAATGTCCAGGTTTGTGGATTTTATGTATACATATTCCTGGCACTGTGTAAACATTTTCTAGCAGCAGAGCACTGCATTTAGACTAGATTTTTGTTTGAAGAACATGCAGCTAATCCTCTGGCTACAAAATTCATCACGTTGAACTACTAAAGCAGAACTTAAACATTTATGCTACTTGTTCATTAAGTGCAGGTAGTGACGCTGCTCAGCAGGTATCTATAGTGAGATTGTCCAGGTAAGAAACTGCTCCCTACTATAGTGGAATTCATAATAATAATGTGTGTGTTGATGAAAATGTTAACTACTTCCAGTGAAAAAGCTAGTGAATGAAAGGAAGTAGTCTTCGATGTGCTTTTTCTTGGGGGCTTTTGAAATGATCACAGTTAATGGCTTTTGTTTTTTCATAATAATAATGTGTGTGTTGATGAAAATGTTAACTACTTCCAGTGAAAAAGCTAGTGAATGAAAGGAAGTAGTCTTCGATGTGCTTTTTCTTGGGGGCTTTTGAAATGATCACAGTTAATGGCTTGAGTTCTTACTGTTTTATGTATCAGACAGTCCATTTGTTTTGTTGGCTTTGTTTTGTGAGTATTTACCTTATTAGAGAGTAAATATTTTGAATGGTTGTGTGTGAATCTCCTATAAAGACTGAAGACTTTTATATATTGAGATTACAAATTGTCACTCGTATCAGTTTTTGTGCTCTGTTACCGATAGGGCACACCACATTTACCTGCTGTATTAGAAGCAGTTGTGTACACTTGTTATAAAACCTCTTGTGTTTCGATCTAAATTCCCATGAGATGAGTGTGTGGATTTCCCTTTAGCGATGCCTGTTTTCTTCAGACTTTACTTACAAGAGCTGAATTAATAACTGACTGCTTTTACTTTTTAAAGGTACTGCAACAGCCACCTGCAGGTACTTGGCTTTATACCGAAAAAGGAGAGGAAGAAAAAGAATGATCCCATAGAGGAGGTAAAGGTCAGGCATCAGATGGATGCTATGGCCTTCAGTCTGACAGTGCCCACCCTGGCTTTGAAGATGCCCAATGGACTGGATGGGATGTCGCTTTCCCCTCCAGGGGCTAGGCTTCCTCTCCACTACCTGGAGGCAGAATTAGAAGACCCCTTTGCTTTCAACGAGGAGGATGATGACCTAAAGAAAGGGGCGACAGTGAGGAAAAAGTTGCAGAGCAAGTTGGCTCAAAACCGGCAGCGCCAGAGAGAGACAGAGATTTTAAAAGTTCGCCAAGAGCACTTTAGCCCCCTTCCTGCACCTTTGCAGCAGCAGCCTCTGCAGCAGCAGCACTCCCATCTGCCACCTTCATCAGCTTCGTTAAAGCCGACAGGGCTACCGCAGGGCGTAGTCTGCAAGTCACCTCAACCTCCGAACACCAGCCTACCAATGCAGGGAGTGGCACCCACCACACACACTATAGCACAAGCCCGGCAGTTGTCTAACAAGAGACCTCTGCCTCTCCTGCCACCCGCTAGGGCTCCTGTCACAGACCCTCCAAGGACTGATCGGGTCCTCATGAAAGCCACAGCCTTCACTCCACACTCATCCTGCATGAGTCGGCTACAGAGACTGGTGAAACTGTGCACTCGAAAACAGCAGCTGGACACTGATCTGTTTCCACATTTAGGTGGGTAGATAATAGATGCACTGCCTGCTTATTTTTTAACCTGAAATCAAAAGACAAAAGGGGAATGTCTTCCTAGCCCTGTCCTGCACTGGTGTGTGGTCCTTACAAAATGACCCTGAACTGGATAATCTTTTGGTGTTTTGTTTAGCCCTGTTCTCTGTGAAGGGAATGCTGGGACCCATCGCTTATGGTTTATGGCATTTTGGTTGTTTATTCTTCTTAATGTCCTGTTAACCATTTGAGAAATCAAAATGAGGTATAGAAAGCATTGCTTGGATGATACAGACATGGTACAGAAGGTTTGCAACGGGAGTAGTAAAAGTGGCACAGCTGTACCTACATGAGTGGACAAGGTTAGATTGAATGTTAAATATGTGACAAGAGCACGTTACAAAATGAGTGCGAGTAGAAGTTTGGAGATTTGGCCCATTGTTCTGTGCAGATCCAAATTTCTGGTTGACTTGACTGGGAAAATTGGAACATAAGAGAATTTTTCTTGACTGGGCCTATTCTGGGCTCGTAGGGAATGTGGATGAACAAAAGCAAAAGATTACTGCAGGAGGGCAGCACTGTTACAGCAAGTAATTGGAGGGGTGGAGTCTTGTCCACGTCCCAGTGCAGGAATAGTCTCCTCCTTACTTACTATCTAGAAACTGTAATAATCAATTGCTGCTTGTGAAAATGTAGGTGAATATAACCAAGTTGCTGCTATGGCAGTAGTGCTCTGTAAAGCTTTAAAAAGGCCGCTGACTTTGTGGCTGATTTGTCTGATTATGGGTACTGACCTAGGTACACCTCGCTGTCCTTGTTATCTCTCTCACCCTCCAAAGTTACCTTACTTTCCACTTTGTTTTAGACTGTTCTTTTCTACCAAGTAAAATACTGACAGAGAAAAGGCAAACATGAGTCAGTGTGTGATATTAGAGCAGGAACGCTGTTTATGATGTTTAAAAAAAAAGTCTTCAAATAAATCCGGACGTTCTTCCTATAAAATCTTATTTAACTGCAAACATCTGTAATTTTTGCTATTTCAATTAACCTTTTTTTAAATTTGCTGTTAAGATCTGCCCTTTGGCCCTCGTGGGATAGCTTGGCTATTTGTTCAGAAGATAATTAGCATCCCATAGCATGTCTCCAAAGGACGCTGATCTTCAGAAAATCGCTTTGATGGTCCTCCATATGATGCAGGTCTTTTGAGGAATAGCAACTCCAGAGGCACTGCTGAGTGTCACAGACCCCAATAGCTTAGAAAGTGACCTGTGTTTTGAAAGACTGTAGTAAGATCACTTTCTGTGTTTAATGTTTTACAATCTCACATGGTGAAGAGAGTAAATTCTCCTAAAAAAGAGGCGTAGTGAAAAAGTTGATCAGACCTATAAGTGTAGAGTTATGCGGATGCATAACTGTGTGTGTATGCAATTAGAACATTTTATATTTGGCAAAGTAATAGAATTCACATACTAATTATGTGAGAGTGGAAAATATAGTTGTTATTTATTCATAATATGCCTTAATATTAAAGACTGGTTATGTCAGTTTAGAGAATTTCAGGATTTCTTTTTTATGATAGATTAGCACTGGAGATGACTGCATAGAATCTTTAAAAAGATGCAGCCACTTTTATGTCTAACTGCATCAGAGCCATGTAACTGGAGATTAATGTAACTGCAGTCTTCAGTGTGAGTATAGCTGAATCTGTATTAGATTTTATTCCTTCATTGCTGCGGTGCCCATTAGAGTAAACAAACCACTGAAGTTGAAAGTATAATTCTGGCATTTTATCAGATGTCTTAAAAGATACCTTAATTTAGTTCAAATGTGTATCTTAAAAATAGGAATGAAGAACGGAATTTTCAGGATGGTGAAGTTCCTGAAAAATAGAGTTTCTGGTATTTCTGTTGTATGATAAAGTGTTGCTGCTAAATGATGAAGGTCCTCCTGACAATTGCATTCTAAGTGTGTGTGTGTGTGTGTGTGTGTGTGTCTAACTCTGAAAGTAGGTGAGCAAGTACTGATGCATTTCCCAAATTCAAAGCATCTGACTTCAGAATAATCTCAGATGTAGTTGGTTTGTGTACTTTTAGCAAAGATGAAGTGCTCCTTAACTCTATCCCAACTGCTGCTTCATTTTCAAAGAGCATGCAAGAAAGTGAAAAAGTGATAATACTGGCTTGTAAGTGCAGCTATGGGATTTTATCCCACCTGTTGCAAGGAATTGGCGAGAATTCCACTGGATGTGGGAGAGAGAGTAGGAAAAACTGCAAAGGATGAAGCTCCAGATAAAATGTTCCACCTGAGACCTGCCTGGATTTCTGTTTCTGGCTGTTCTGTTCAATAATTGTGTTTAGCTTGACTTAACTGAGGCTGCTGGTGCATACAAGTTGATCCTACTGCATCATCCTTCAGCGAAAGCATGTTGCTTACTAAAAGTGCAGGAGTATTTACATCTCTCTATTTAGCTGTCTTTTCATGCTAATACATGCATTTGGCAGACAATTACAGAGACTGAGCAGAGGAACATCCTGTGTAACTGTGTATCTATCTCTGTCTGAGCTGCTCTGTCTTACGGTTTTCCTATTCTCCCTGTGTTTTGGCACAGAGGAGAGGTCAGAATATAAACAGAAATGGAGGTGACCCATTTAGATCATATCATTTTAAAAATTGCGAGGCAGTCAGTTCTTCATGGCAGGGACTTCTCTCTTAGACCTTGTCTCTAAAGATTCTGTGTGGTTGGTATGAAAGCTTATGATATTTTTCTGTAGGTAAGAAAGCTGGTGATTTTTCTTCTTATGGATAAAGAAGCCAATATGGTGATTTTTCTTCTTATGGATAAAGAAGCCAATATGGATTTTAAAAGGAAAACTCAAATTTGACAAAAATCAGTGCTTGCTCTTTGCAAACTGTAATGGAGCTGTTACTGTAACTTTTCCTGTGTAATTGAGAAATCATATGAGTTAATCAAACATAATTGCGCTTGTGACTATACTACACGTTCACCTTTTTTGCCATAGATTTCTCAGAGACTTATATGAGGTAGATACACTTTTCATCCAGCTTTCACATTTTCAATTCCCTTAGGGCTGGATTGGTCTGAAGATAGTGGAGAAGAGTTGGAGGATTCAGAGCAAACCTCCGCTTACCAGGTTGCATGGTCTATCCGAGAAAGCCTCAGCTATGAAAGACATGAGTGAGTATGATTCTTTAGTATTCATGCTGGCCTTGATGGAATGAATCATGTAAATACGAGCTTCACTTCAAGTGGAGTCAGTGGAACCTAAGCGCTTGTTTGAGTGCTTTGCTGAAACAATGGATTGTTTGAACTCATTTGTTTTGTAAGAGCTACAAAACAGCTTGTCGCCTGCTGTCCCAGTTTCCACCTGACTTAGAGACCTTTGTGCAGCCTGCTATCAGAAGGATGCATCAGGAAAGAATTTAAGCTTATTTGCCTAAATTTAATCGAGTTTAGTGGGATTTGTTCATGAACTTGTGTGCCTTGCTGAGTAGATGTATTTACTGAATTAGAACCAAATGAAAGGAGTTGTTACTGGTTTCTTATCTTTCCTGCTATTTATGAATAACTTTGTTAGTAAACATGCTACATTTTACTCATTAATCCTTATGGTAATTGTGCAGGATGTTGTTTTAATGTGTTGCTTTTGAAGGGCACAGCATTTCTTTTCTTAATTAAGTGTTGACTAAACCTCTGTCAGGTGGTTGGGAGCACTGAAAGGAAGTGATGTGATAGAAGGGATAAGCAGAGCAGGTTTTAGCTGTTGATGCAGAATGGCTTACAGTGTTCTCCATATACTGCTAAGTCATGAATCAAAATTTACAGCAGGTTATGATAACATATGTCTCTTTATAAATTTTAATGTGCAAAGTTAAGGCAGAGCATCTCAAGCGTAGTATTGTAATGAAACTGAAGCATGTTGATAACAAAAGGAAATTGGGGTCTCACTAAAGTTTGGTTGTAGTTTCTGTAACGTGATTCACTGTGCAGCTGGACTTCTTGATACTACACCTCTCTCCCATTTGTTTAATTTTTAAATGTCATAGAATAATGATGTTAATGAAACCTTATATTGTTGTTACACGAAAATTCTGAAACTTTCCAGAACTTCCTGCCATCTCTAAAGATTGTCATTGAATCATATAGTCATTAAGTTGGAAAAGACCCTTAAGATAGTGGAGTCCAGCCGTAAGGTGAACAAGAGAGCTGTATCTCTGTCATCAGGACAGACACCAGGATACTAAATACTGAGAGCCTTCAGTGAATCGAAGCTTAGTAGCAGCATGTAGATTTTGCTTTTATAAAAGAAGGGGATTTTTCATTTGTGAATGGCCATTGCTTTTTTAGGGCATCAGCAGCCAGAGAGATAGTGAGCTTTCACAAACTTTAGTTTTAACTTAAAAGGCTACTTCTAAATAAGCTGTTTTGGGAAAACATGATCAGACTTTCAGACTTTTAAATCATAGATAATTTTCAAAGCAGATATATCTAGTAAATAAATTCCATTACACTCTTCTCTCTTTGACATTTGATCTGGTTCTTCCATAGATCCCTATTTTTTTGTCAATTTATAAAGGTCATCTCTGTGTGTTTTGTCTTCTATTTGTCTTAACTTCCTTTGGATTCTTCCTACTCTTTTCACATACTGAGAGAAAATAATACCATGTCTTTACATTTCCTTTTCCATTCTAGCATTTTATGCACTTCAATTAAACACTGTCTTAACTAATCATGATGGATAAATTTTTGTATGGTATTTTTCTGATTTTGTTTATGGATAAACATTGATATAATCACTTGATGTCAGCCTTCTAAAACTTCAGTTCCTATTCTACAAGCTTCTGTAGCGGTTTTTATTACCTGAAATGTTTCACTTTGACACTTTGGCAATGTGGTCTGTCTGCTGCTGAAGATGAATTAGTTCAGACTAAGGTTTCTTGGGTGATTTGATTTGTCAGAATGACTCTGTCTTGCTAATCTGGCGGTGCAGACTGGTTTGTCTGAACTTTATCAGACAACAACTTGTTATGGCTCTGAATTTTGGAGGCTAATTTTGCCAGAAAACCAATGGAGATTGTTTCCTCGCAACATTTAGATTCTGAAATAACATACCGAAACTTGTGGGAATTTATTTACTGTTTTTCATAGCAAAATTAAAGCTATTTTTTCTCTGTTCATTTATATCTGAGCTTGCGGTCCCTGTGTGAAAGGCGTCACTCTTCACCAGCTAACTCCATTCAGTCCTTTTCCATTTGACTCTGTGGAAGACAGTGAGAGGGATGCTGCTCACAACAGATTAGTAAAAAATTAGTAAAACAAAGTGAACAGTTAATTTCTGCATTACTGGACAGTTTGTTCTCAGCATGTCTGATTGTGGGGGGAATCCTCTAACTTTCTGTTGGACTTCTTGTGTGATACTCTAGCTACTCTTCAACTCTCAAGAATTCACCAAATGGGTTTAAAAGTAATGGCTGAACAGTAAGACCGTTTTGAGTTCACTTGCCTTCTGGCCTTTTAATCTGTAAATTCATATTGTGGCAGTCACCTGAGGAAATGCAGGCCAAATGTTTGCTTTTGTTATTCTGTCCTTTAATCTTGAGGAATATCGGTTCCGGTGGCCGTAGGATCCCAGGCGGCAGCCCTTGGCAGCAGGCACAGGAGGCCTGAGCTCTGGCAGTGATGCAGGCAGGGCTGCTGGGGTGGGAGCAGGCCATTGCGGAGGAAGAGCAGGGGCTGTTCCCTGCTGCAGGCTGGTGGAGCTTCCTCCTAGATGATTCGATTACTGGGTGTTGTAGCTTAGAAAGTACTAGAAAACAAATGACTTGAAAACAAAGCAGGTTTTCGTGTCCTGCGGTGAAATAAAGTGAGTGTTTCAAGTAGCCAGTTTGAAAAGGGAGTGTGAGGATTGGAGTCCATTCTCATACCAGCTCACTGAAAGGAGCAAATATCAACACTGTATTGTCAAAGTCGGATTAAATAACTCCCAATAATTAGAAGAACTAAGAGCAAGAAGGGAAGATGTTTCAAATCCCTCCTTACAGAGGATTTTGAGGTACAGTTGCTGTGTGTCTCAGAGTAATGAGCGTGTTCTCCTGGTTCCATGATAGTGCCTGTCTGGTTGCTCTATGATTATGCTCTTCATTTCTGCAGCTTCGTGCTGCCTTTGTTTTCTTCATGAACACTCAGCAATAATTCCCCTGATGTTTAGACATGACAGTCTTAAAGGGGAGGGTTGGGAAGAGGTATTTTGGATTATCAGATGGTTTGCGTGCGCTTTCAGAAATATTTTAAAAAATGAAATGCCACACATTAAGTTGAACTTTAAAAGTTATGTGTGCAGCTTAAGAGAATAAACTAAATAGAAGTTGGTAAACTTGCTTATGAAAGGACATTAAAAGTACCTTTCGGTTTCAGTGCTTGTTGGGGGGGAGGAGGTGTTATTGTGACATTTTTAGGTTTCTTTGAACATAGAAATTTGCTGTGGTTAATCTTACTGGCCTGGAAACAAAATTCTCAATAGGCTTTTAGAAACTGTTTGCCTCAGAAGAAGCCCTTGTCCACTGCAGGCATGATTTCTTTCTACATCTTGCATATATTATCTTCACCTACTTTTTAAAAATGATCTCATGAACTGCAGTTCAAAATATTTTAATATGTAATGACTTTTTTTCTGTCTGTTTCAATGGGAGGAAAGAAAAAAGTCTCTCCACCTAAAAGAAACACTTTTTTTCCCTAAGCAATATTCATGTCTTTTCTCAAAGTTAATTTGTAGCCATATTTAAAATTAAATCAGTATGTCTGCAACTTTGTTTAAAAATCTTGTCCCAGAGCAGGAATTAAATATCTAAGACCTTAGACCTACCTATATCTTACTGATCCCATCCATGTATTCCTGTTTTCTGATGATATATTGAAAAAAGGAAAATCTATATTAATTAACTCACAACTAAATTTTTCTAAACAAGTTGGTTTTCCCAGTAGGCATTCTTTCCTAAGAGATCTTAAAAATGCATTTTCTTTTCATCTTCAGTGTGAAAATATTTTAAACATTACATATGTTAAATATTCTTAACAGGTTGTATGTGCTGCTAAGCGTTTAATTGCAGAGGTTAATTACTTGTAATTTATGCTTCTAGAAAATAATCTGTAATCTGTTTTAACAAACAAAGTACATAGTATGGTTGACTTTACATAAAATTTTATAAAAATCTGCATTTGTGTCAAGGCAGTGTTTGCTCCTGCAGAGTTTTTGTGGGCAGCCTTAGGGGAAATGGATGTAGTCTCTTAAATTTAGCATGCATGTGAATGGAATAAGGTTTTCTAGAAAGGAATAGGTCTTAGTCGTATTTCCTTTCAGGGACAGCTATTCTGCCTGCATTTCTGGACCTTACTTTATTTAGTAAATATCATGGCCAGTATTTCGCATCTCTTCTTTCATCGGCTAGCTGTGGTCTGCTTTGCTGTGCTCATGTTTGGGTGTTAGCTCATTCAGTCTCGCTGGCCAAGCTCTGCAATCTGAACCTTGGGAGCTTTTGATTTGCTTCATATGTTTGGACTTCTTTTCTTCCCCCTGCCCTTCCTTTGTTTTACAGATAGGAAAGTTAGGAAAATATTTCTCTGTTCTATAAGGAAAAACTTAAAGGAAAAACTGAACAAAGTCTACCTTGCTTAGGTTCAGTGCATGCTCTGGATAGCTTCATGGACCTTGTTGTTTTAACAAGTCCCAGTGATGATTTTATTATGTTGTATGATTTTTACTTCACTTAACTGAATGTGTTGGCGTGGTTTGATGGTCTTGTCGATATGTGCCTGGACATTCAGAAAGCCGAAGGGGAAAAGACTTTCTTAAGCATGCAAAGAATTGGGCTGGTCCTTCGTCTGGCCATTACTGAGTCCTGGTCCGATTTTTCCCTCGGTACCTGTAGAGTTAAATGTGCATTTCTTCTCCATGGCTGTACTGTAACTCAACTTTAACTCTGCAGCAAGGGGATAGCAGTATCAACTGCTAGCTCTGTGAGTGTGTATTTTAGTTTAGGAAGGAAAACACCACCTGGCAAAGTAAGAGGAATTGCAAAAGGTCAGCAGTTTTGGCACGTTAGAATTTGACCATCTTCTCCAGCATGACCTTTCTTCAATAAATTTCCACTACGTAGTTCCCCACCCTTGTCCTCTCCATTAATTGCACTTTGATTTAAGAGTTTGTCTCATTTGCTGAGACATTTACAGTAAATAAAGGTTAACAGTATAGATTTTTTTGAACAGCAGGCTCCAGACATTTAAATGTGTCAGGGTTGATGATAAATTGATGTAATCTCTAATAATGACATACTAAGAAGGGTAAGTACCTTTAGAATTCAAAAAGGATCCTGCCCTTACCATTTCTCAAGCATCCCTGCCTGATTTCAGCCTTTCGATGTTTGTGGGGCTAGAAGATGGATGCCAACTTAAGAATTCTATTAAAATGACAAATTAGCTTCCTTGGAAGAAAAATACTTAAAGTCCATTTGTTTTTATTTTCCCTCTTTCAGGTTTGATGATGACAATGCAGATGACAGGAGTTCCAGGGTGACCAGACTTTGCACTTACTTTCAGCAGAAATACAAGCACCTCTGCCGCCTGGAGCGGGCAGAATCTCGTCAGAAGAAATGCCGGCATACACTCCGGAAAGCATTGCTGCAGGCAGCCAGCAGAGAGCCGGAGCGTGCGGGGCAACTGATACAAGAACTCCGAAGAGCTACGTGCGCTCGTACCAGGTTAGACCTTTCCCTGTGACTGCACTAACCCAGGGTCTGGACAGGGTGGAGATGGGCAGAGTATCCAGCAGCTGAAATGCTGAACTCTGGAACCAGTAGGCATGCACAAGGCAGAAAAAACATGACACCTAAGTGCCTGTCAGTGGACTGAAATAAACATGGCATACAGTGTTTTCCATGAAGATGGGCATTCTCCAGTTTTGTGTTTTGAAATGTGGATTGTTTGTTCAGCAGTATCTGGGCCCATTTCTTAAATGTCACAAAAGAAGTTAGTGGCCTGCGAAAATTTATTCTTGTTAATTAATCTATGTATTTTGGCTGCCTTCAAATATGTCATACTTTTCTAAGCTCAGTTCTTTAGAAGGTGTGCAGTCTGGTCTGCAGTTCACTGCTTCAATTCAGATTCAGACAGCTTTTTTTGAAAAGTCTGTGCCTCCTCTTAATTCTCTTCCCAGCAAATCGAACCTAAACTCATGCTTTTTGTTAGATTTAACTCAATCCAACATTAAATGAAACTTGCCAACAAAATAAATATCTTCTAACAACTCTGAAGGTTACCTTCTGTGGGAATTCTTTCTAGATAATGTCAACATCCCTTCAGCTCTCGGCATACAGAGAGTTGGTTGATTCATATTTGTGCAGGAACAGAGTAAGTCTGAACCCTGGCGTTATGTCTAGAGTATCAGCAGCATCCTTTTGCTGTTGTGGTTTTGCTTTACAGGATATGTGACTGTGGGAGGTAGGGGGGGCTAACATGAGAGGCAGGCTGGAGCAGGGTACTGAAAGTATATTCTGATTATGGGATGCTTTTGTTTCTGGACAGTGGGCTGTGGTTCATGATGGTTGGAGGGTTCATTGTTAGGGAGGTGGAGTGATACTGAAGAGCTGCTCAGAGTTGTAATGTGGAGGTACATTACTGGTTTATGAAGTTGTGTAAATGTCTCTGAACTGAAACTACAGCAAAATCTTGTCAGAATTGGCAAGCTCTTGCTGATTTTTTTTTCCATTATTTTTGCATTTTATTACGCAAAAAAGATTACGTTGTTTTGAGTAGACTGGCAAAGCCAGATATGCCTGCTATCACCACTCTGGTTAATTTAACCAGAGAGTCTTTTCAGTTATTAAATTTTTCACAGGAGTAATACTGCTAACTAAAACACTGCTCAGTCAAAATGCAGTTGATGACAGAAATGGCTGAAAGAAAACAGTCAGGCTACAGCCAGCTTTTTGTCAACCTAGAAAACAACGTGTACAGAGGTGAAAGTCAGCCCTGGAATCGCCAGCTTTGTCTACATGAAGGTGACAAATGCCTCAAGAGCAGGCTAACACCGAGCGAGCTGTGTAACGCTTGCAGTACTCATCCACACTGCTGTCTGGTCGCCTGCTTGCAGCTCAGGCTCAAAGCATTGAGGCTGTGCTGAGGAAGCGCTCAGCTCCGGGCACCTGCTGGTGGATTGGGCTGTAGCACGTTGGTGAAGGAGAGCTTTTACCCATGTTGAGCACGCTCAGGCTCTGCCACTCCAGAGCTCAATCAAAGTTTGTCTGAGCACATGCTTGCATGTAAGCTCTGGGGATGCTCGGCATGTTTTGATTTATGAACAGGCTTGGAAGTGCACTTGACTACCCCGGTAGGCATACCCAATACATTGTATTCTGACGATTGACCTCAAGTTAAGGATCACCTGTGTTGACACTCACCTACTGCTGTCCTTGGCTCTGTTGCAAGGTATTGTAATTCTACATGGTAGTAGCACACAGCACCTCCCATTAAAATTAAGGACCTGTGAAATAAACAATAATCCTGTTGCTGCAGCCACACCTTCACCTGTCATTGACATCTATTCTGTATCCCTGTGTAGAGTCTGGTAGTGGTATGCACCCAGCTGGATCATCACACACACACACACACACACATACACGTGTGTTACAATTTTTCATCCTACTGTGCCACATTCAGTGCAATAGTTGTGCTAAGTAACCACCTGAGACTGGGGGTTTGTCTCTAAACTCTTGTATGCTTTTTTTTTCAGCACAAGCCAAGCGAGGCAGAGAGATGCAGAACCAACAACCTGTAGTGGGACTTCGAAGGGAGAACAGTGCACTAACAAGGCCCTTCCGTTCACCAGGCATTGTTTTCAGCGTATCCTCTTAACTCTGTTGGGGAGTTGCATTCAGGCACGGAAGCTGTTCTGTTTTAGGAGGTTTTGTTTGTTTGTTAGATTTTTGCATTGACAAATACATTTTCACAAAGAAATACCTATTTGTTAGTGTCTTACCAACTACTTTGCTTTTAATTTGTGTGATTTGGATCTGTAGACAGTGAAGATAAGAAGTTTGCCACTGGTATCTATCATAGTCACATTGTTTTACTTTGTAAGCTGTATTTAGAAGGGGCAAGAAAAATTATCATCTTTCGCAGGTGGCTTTCAGCCTCATGGCTTTCATACAGTTCGTGGTAGGTAGACTACCTACCTATGAAGGGTTTATGGGAACAAGTTCTTACACATAGCATAAAAAGATGGCTTACACTGACTAGAAAGATGGAAATCTGATACCTTGCATTGTTGAAAGAAGCAGAATAGAAGGAGGCACAGAATCCAAATTCTAGATGAGGAAGAATTGCCTGTACCGGGGATTTCAAGCAAAGCCTGAAAAGGGTGTTAAGAGTGAATGCATGAAGGTTGCAGAAAGGAGGGAGCACATTAGATGTGAGGTTTGATTCTGGAGGTTATAAACAGGCAGACTTCTGACTGGGAATACTTAAGAATTCTGCAGACTGTCTTTTTAGTTTTAGATGAAGAATTATTGGCACTTTTGTTGGAGTGACTCCTTTTGTTCAAAGTTTTGGTATTTTAAGTAACTAGTTCTGATCTGTTCCAGTTGCTATCAGACTGCAGCACCTTTTCAATCTTTTCAGTTTGCAGGTGCCTTGTTTTTCTTGGTTGATTTTTGCAGGCCCCTTAAAAGTAGTCTGCAGAGCAGTTCAAAACCTCTCTATGAGACACCATTGTGGTGTGCAGCTGTGTTTGGGATTTGCCTCATGATTCTGATTTTTTTAATCTTTTATTTTTTTTTAATTTAAGCGGTCTTGCTTGTTGCTGTGCATACAGCAGAGAAGTCAAGACTACTGATTTTGCATTTGTGCCCATTTTTTCCCTCTGCACTTTCTTCTCAATGGAAACGGTCTTTCCTAAAATGAGTGGGCTCTTGGTTCCGACCTGTCCATCCAAGTCTGCCGTCTGGACTGTTCTGCAGATTTTGCATTTTCTTTGTCCTTTCTTTTGGGTTTTAACATTTTGCTGAACATACATAGTGATGTTGAGGTCTGAGAACTGTTCAAGATTGAAGGAGTACTTCTAATGTTGTTTGAAAAAACACAATGAAATATCTGTTTGATTTGCTCTAAGTCTGGAAACATTTTCACTCCTGCAGGGGATTTTTCTGAAGGAAATCTCAGCAAGCTTACGTTTGGATTTACTTGACCTTTCTGTCTGATTGCACATCTTTTTTTTCAGAGGAGCAGGAAGGATCTTGAAACTTCTTTGTCTGTGCTCTAAAGATAAATGCCAAGAATGTACCTTAAAAGATTGAATTAAGAAATACTCTTTCTTTAATGTTTCAGTATGGATTGTCATTAGTCTGTAAGGAAATAGTCCTGTTGACTACACTGTTCCAACTGCTACTATTGATCTATTGATTAAGACTCCAGGAAAAGGCTTCTTTTAGCTAAGAACTCATTAGTGAAATGGCTGCTTCCATAAAACTATCCCAATATATAATAAAATCATTAGAGATTCTGCATGAATGCAGTTTTTCACTTTAAAAGTTGGGTTTGAGCCTTACCTAGCTTTGAACTTGAATAACAAAGTTAAGGTACTCATTAAAAATAGCATCTATGGACAGGTAGAGTTGAAGGCTCTGATCTTCATCAGATTGGTAAATCAAAGGGCGTTCCTCCATTGTTGCCTTGTGTGTTATTCCTGATGCAGAAATGCATAGATATCTTACTGAACCGTTCTCAGCAGCTCTTCTCAAGTTGCACAGCCAAGTTTGCAGATGGTCAACAGTGCTCTGTGCCAGTTTTTGACATTACACATCAGACACCTCTGTGTGAAGAACATGCCAAAAAAATGGTAAGTACAAAGCCAAAACTGTAATAATTTGTGTGTTGGGATGATCAGGAGTTTTAGCCCCAGTCTTTCTATGAAATCTTGCTTGACAACTAGCAAGTTTGTGAATTGAAGAGCTCATTTCCTTTTATTTTTCTCAAGAGTGTAAAACATGTCAGACATTCCCAGTTAGTATAAAGTATGTTGTGAAAATCTTTTACATGCTTCTAAGGATATAAAGTGTGCATGAGAATATCCTTGACCGAAAGAAATTTGATTCCTCTCTTGAATCAAGAAATAGAAAATCATTGTGAGACATCCTGTGGCCATTTTATTTGGGCTCACTCCTATCCCTTGGGTCTGAATATAGTATGAGTGTGGTATGGTAAGAACACTGTGTCTCAAACAGTCTCAGTACATCGGGCCCAAAATATTTTCTAGAGGAAGTGTAGACAGCAATTACAAGCATACAAATAATGGGTTTCCTACTTTATTTACCTTTTGGTGACTATTAGAATTTATCTTTAACCACCTTCAGGGATCTGTGGATCCCAGAGGAAAAAGCAGTGGCTTACTACAAGTTGAGAGAATGTAAAAATTAGGATGATGGCCTCTGCTCTACTCTTACGCCTCGCATCTTCCAGAACAGAACTTTTAGGATAATTCAAAAGCCCACTACTGTCTTGCCGCTCCTTCAAGGCATTGCGTGTAAAACTACATATTTTTTTATTGTGGGTTGTTGTGGATTTTTTGTTATTGTTTTTGTCCAGCCTCTCCAATACTTGTGAATTATGGAGTTTCCTGGATTAAAATGTGAGGGTCTGCACGGCACAGATTTGTATGGGATTTTCCTCCTTTCCCAGGCAATCTTCAATGTGTCTCTCAAGATCTATTTCTGTAGCACATATGATCCTCTACCATTCCCAGTATGATGGCAACTGAAAACTGATGATGGTTTGATATATTTTTTAATTGGTCAGTGATTGCTGTTCAAAAGCTCTGAGGCTTTAGTTGTTTACCCACATCCTTACCCTTGTCCTACAGTATTAATTCTGTTTCCTCTCTTTTATGGCAGTGGGCACTTGAGGATGTGGGCTTCAGCTGCTGCGCACTATCCCCATTATTGCCACCTCACAGCAGTGTTCTGTCTGTAATACTTAACAGGAATGCTGCCAAAGGTTAACAGTTTTGCACTGATTTCATTAGGATTTGCTATGATGATCTTTAAAGTGACACTGCACCATCTCCTATTTAGCATACCTCATAATTTGGTGTATGTGATTTTTGCCATTGGGATCAATGAGGAAGGAAACAGCTTAATTTTCTTGCATTACATATGAATGTCTGTGGAATGACATGGGGAAAAAAGCAAGGAAGGTAGTTCTTAATATGCTCCCATTGTTTTATTCCCAAAGGACAATTTCTTGAGAGGGGACAGCTCCCGTAAAGTTCAGCACCAGCAGCAGAGGAAACCCAGGAAAAAAACGAAGCCACCTGCACTTACCAAAAAACACAAGAAGAAGAGAAGGCGAGGGCCGCGCCGGCCCCAGAAACCCATTCCTCCTGCAGTGCCCCAAGGGAACCTCACCATGCCTGCCAGTGTCTCACTGCCAGTAGAGATGCCCCACATACGGTCAGTGGTGGCCCTGCCTCAGTTTGCCCACTGATAGCCAGAATGTTGTCAATGAGCACGGTAGAAAGGTGTGATGTTGTGCTGATCAGCATCTGGAGCGGGGCTAGAAATTGCATCTGTGTGTGACTGTTGAAAAAAAACCTTAGAGTGGATCATTTTAGATTTGAGCAATTACTGAGTTTGAACGATAAAATGTCTTGCTCCTGATGCCCATCCTATGTATCTAATCATTAGGCTAAGCATAAACTTCCTAAAGAAACTTTCTAAAAGCATTTTTTTCCTAGATGATGAGGGAGGGAGAGATGTGGAGAAACACCAGTCATAGATTGATACGCATTCATGGTTGTTGTTTGGAGGAATCAGAGTGGAATACTAACAGTACTTTCTGTCCAGGAGCCCCTCCACACCAGAGCTGAGTGCCGATGAGCTGCCTGATGATATCGCCAACGAAATCACAGACATTCCACACGACTTGGAATTGAATCAGGAGGACTTCTCTGATGTCCTGCCACGGCTGCCTGATGACTTGCAAGATTTTGATTTCTTTGAAGGTACCATTTTATTTTACTTTATGCTAACGTGAACACAGTCAGTGAACTGAAGAAGTGAGTGTTTCTAAAATGCATTTTGAGGGGTTGCTTGCTTTTCTACAGAGGTAATAACTTTTGGACAAGGAAGTGTGCATTTGCTCTATTGTTTGTGAGCTCTGAAGTAAAGCAGACTTTAAGAAGACTGGTGTGTGTAGTTCTGTGCTTGCTCTTATAACTACTGCTCTGAAAATCCTAATTGGTTTAGTATTTTAATAATTCATTTTATGTTTTTACTGACTGTCAGTGTTGCATTTTAATCATGAGTATTCTCAGTAATGGCATCTTTCTGCCATCGAGTGGGGCTGGAATCACAGTCAATGTTGCCCTTTGATAAAAGGAGAAGAGAGTGTGAATAAAATCTTTAAATACATTTTTGAAACAAGCTTTTGATCAGAACTATGCCTGAATTTCTGGATTCTAAAGCTCAGTACCTATCACAGATAACAAAGAAATTAGAACAGCCCAGAGTTGGAGTATGTGATTTCTTTGGTCATTTTCTGATGTGACATGACATGACATCCGACTGTGTTTGAGTTGAAATGAACCTAAATTACATTGACTATGTAAATTTTAGATCCAAGCTGTAATTTGGTAAATAGAAGGGAGTTTGTGGACTATTTATGTTATTGCAGCATTAAAGAAAATCTTATTTAACCAGGTTTACTTTGTCTAGTGAGTTTGGGAGGCATCTTGTATTGTAGTATGTGGAAAAGGAGGGCAGAGAGAAGGAATTCCATTGACGAGGAAGGTGTAATTTCTCATTTTTCTGACCTTGCTTACCTAGTGAGCACTGGTGAAGGAAATTTTCTGTGTACTGTGAGCCATTCTGGAAGATTGTCATACTCTGCAGCTCTGTACTGAACTGTCCGTACGTCTGCATCCTTAGAGTGTCAGTGCCAGGCTCACCAGAGAGGAGCGCTCTAACTTCTGGTTTCCCTGTTTCTGCAGGTAAAAATGGAGATCTCCTTCCGACTACAGAAGAGGCTGAAGAACTGGAACGGGCCCTACAGGCTGTAACTTCTCTTGAGTGCCTGAGTACCATTGGAGTACTTACACAGACAGATGGTGTGCCAGTTCAGGAGCTGTCAGATAGAGGGATAGGGGTGTTCTCTACAGGTGCTGGAGCTCCAGGAATGCAGTCCTTGAGTCGAGAGGTTAACACGGATCTGGGGGAGCTGTTGAATGGGCGTATAGTACATGATAATTTCTCCGGTCTGGAGCTGGATGAGAACTTGCTCCGTTCTGCTACCTTATCCAACCCACCTACGCCCCTGGCAGGGCAGATCCAGGGGCAATTCTCCGCCCCAGCCAACGTCGGCCTTACTTCTGCCACTCTCATAAGCCAGAGTGGCCTTGGGGAGAGAGCCTTCCCAGGACAGTTTCATGGACTTCATGATGGCAGCCATGCCTCCCAGAGGCCCCACCCTGCCCAGCTGCTGAGCAAGGCAGATGACCTGATCACCTCACGACAGCAATACAGCAGTGACCATTCACACTCCTCACCCCATGGAAGCCATTATGATAGTGAGCATGTGCCGTCTCCCTACAGTGACCATATCACATCCCCTCACACCACATCTTTTTCTGGTGATAACTTGGCAGCTACCTTCTCAGCAGAGATGCCCATGATGGCACAGCACTTGCTCCCAACTCAGCTGGATGTGCCACTTAGCGGGGTGGTCAACCCCAGAACTCACTGGGGGAATCTTCCTGTCAATATTGGGGACCCCTCTCCGTTTAGCAACCTTCTTGGTGCAGATGGACACCTCCTGTCCACCTCCCTGTCCACACCACCTACCACCTCGCACTCAGAGACCACACAGCCTGCCTTCGCCACTGTGACCCCCAACAGCTCCAGTGTGCTTCCGGGGTTACCGCAGACCAGTTTTAGTGGCATGGGTCCTGCCTCCGCTGAACTCATGGCCTCCACCTCCCCTAAACAGCAGCTCCCTCAGTTCAGCGCAGCCTTTGGGCACCAGCTGAGCTCCCACAGTGGCATCCCCAAGGACCTGCAGCCCAGCCACAGCTCCATAGCTCCTCCCACGGGCTTCGCAGTGACCGGTGCCACCACTACCAGTACCAGTAACGCATCTGCACCCTTCACCACCTCCAACTGAGCTTGTCTGCCTGGCTCTGTGCAGGTAGATAGGGGACCTGTGTTTTCTATCTTTCCTTTTTTCCTTTTTCTTTATTTTTTCTGTCCTCTCTTCCCCTTTTTTTTAGGAGGGGGTTAAGAAGAAAACCCCTGCTTCAGTACTGACCAGGGTTAGCCCTCTGTGAACCTTGCTGTAGCGTTCACATGTGCTTGTTACGCACCGGTGCTCATTTATTGCAGGCGGGTTCACTGTTCCCCAGTAATTCCTTAAGGATACAGCACAGTTACTGGATATAATTGATCTTAGCAGTAAGACCTAGAAATGGGAAGATACCTCAGATTACTGATGCATGTTACTGTTTCCTAGGGTTTGGATCAGTGCTTGCCGTCCCATTAGCATCTGGTAGAAAGTTTTCCAGTGGGCGGAAGTCCCTTGATTTTTTTTATTTTTTTTTATTTTACTTTTTTCCAAAGGTAGCATCTGGCATGGAAAACTTGGCTGCACGCATTGATTTGAGAATGGTGCACTGAAGTCCTAAATCAAGACCATGGTTCAAGGATGAGTTTGGCAGTTTCTTAAAATAGTCTCTTGACCTCCTCTGTGTGCGTGTGTTTGGGGTGCAGGGAGCAACAGTTCCTTTTCTTCTTTTGGTGAAGAAGTGGGAGTTGTCCCCTTCCAGAACTGGTTGCTGTTCTTACTGCATGCTGATTTTTGACCTTTTTATAATAATGATTTTTAATTCATTGAGCAGCAAGGGGATCAGTTGACTGGTTGCCCAGAATCTGAAGGCTGATACAAAGTTAGCCCAGGGGAAAAAAAAAAAAAAAAAGAAAGAAAACCAGAAGGATTGAAATAGATCATGGATTAGTGAAGATTCCTGTGTAGAAATTTCCTCCCTTGCTGAATAACTGTGGCCTTTTAGCATTGATGATTTGCCTTTTCAAATGTGGCTTTGTCCAGAACTCCGTGTCTGACAGGCTGAGAGGTATTTATCAGCTGAAACTGGAAGAATTTGGTTGGTATTCTGCCTGTCCACACAAGTCTAGGTCAGACCCTTCGGTAAGTTTCCAATGGATGCGTTTCTCAAATTATATCTAGCTACTGAGACTTTCTTTGTTAGTTTTTTCCCCCCGTCTTGGAGCCATGTAGTTTTTTCAACACTTGTATGTTTGATGCTCTGTATGGGAAGCTGAATGTATGTAAGGAACTAGCAGGTACCTATTAGCAGTCATGGCTAACCAGAAGAGAAATCACTAAAGCAAAATAAATAAGAATTCCTTCTGTTGGCAGGACAATTTTGCTTTTACTGCCCACCTGCTAAATATAGTATTCAGACTCTTTGGTAGTAATTTCAATTCTTAAAGAAAGAAGTCCAGTAGCTTTTAGATTTTTAAAAAATTTTATTTTATGTTTTTTAGTCCAAGAGATAACAGCAGCAGAAATTCTGAGGTGTTTACGTGCATCTCTTTATCCTAAGGGAAAAAAGAAATTTGCTTGTGACTTTATAGGGCCCAAACGTGCTACTGTACTCTGACTGTAAAAGTAGCTCCTACTTAATATAACAAGTCTCTACGCTTCTTCATTTGTTGCTGAGATGCAGATAAGAGAGAATAGAAAATCCCACGTTACTGCAGAAGACAGGTTTCGTTGTACCTTACAGTAAAACATCCTACTGCATGTATTCTAGTCTAATTCAGTAAGTTAAAAATATCAAGCACATGTAACAGGGAGGCCTAATAAATTGTTTGAGTAAGGGATCATTGAACAAAGTTTAGTTGCTGTAGAAATTCATTTTGTTAGCAGTCAGGCCCACACCAAAATCTCTGACCCAAACCTCTCCTTCCATCTTGCTAAGGAACAGAATTTAAACGGGATAGGTCTTGTGTCTTCTTACTATCATAGCAATCATACTATCCCTCTTTTCTTGAAAGATTTGTTCTCCTTAAATACAAAGGAGTATGGATGATGCATATGTCCTTTTCTGAAATTGCAAGTGTATGTGGGTGAAGGAAACAAAAATGATTTTCATGTTTCTGTTGTTATGAAGTCCTTATTTCATACTTGGTAAAATAGATCTTAATAATATAAGCCGAATATTTTTAAGTGGTGATTTAAATATGTTTGTAACATTTAAATGTTTTAAAATCATGTAAAAAGTTGAATTGAAGCATATGAAATCCTGCTTGTGATTGTCCTGCTGATTGAGGAATGCCCAGTGGTATTGTGAAATGAGGCAAATCTGACGAGGCATTTATTTATTTTTGTATTATGTTCCCCATACTTTGTTGAGGAGACAGCTGTTTGATTTGCAAATGATTTTCGTTGTGTCCGTATATCTTCTTCAATGTTTTTGGATGACTGGCTGAAAAAAAGTGGAGAACTAGTATACCAAATGGTTAATTCTTTAATCTGCTTGTATATTCATGTCATTTTAGAGGATATGAATTTCTATAAATTGTTTTCAGGACTTTGGTCTTGAGATCATTCTTGTGCCCATCAAACTCTTAAATGAAGCTGCAGCTAGTGCAGTGTGTATTTGCCCCGCATTACATTTCTCTTTCTTAGCAAATGCTGGGGGGGGAAGGAGGAGAGGAACTGAGAGCCAAGTTCTGCTTGCTCACGTTGGTAGAAATTGTGGAGGAGCTCTTTGGTATAAGGTCACTGTGAGTTTGTACTGGTCTAACTCAGAACAAAATCTAGCTCCTAATCTGAGCATTGATTTAGGCAGGGAGTTTCAAAATCTGTCAAAGCAATGCAGGTCTGTAATTCTCATTTGAAATCAATGGCCATTATGTACCTGCATTCCTTTAAGCTAGCCTAGGATACCAACTTCCTTCCCCTGCTGAGGCTTCAATTTTTGTATATCCCTTGATGACTCTTCCCTGAAAAGTGGCTACATAACATTTTTCAGTGAGCAAACTAGGTTTGCAATAAAGCTGCACTCTTAAAAATAGACTTCGGTTTGTATATGTTTGAAATAGGAATCCCTCTGTCCTGTCTGACATAGAGTTCTGAAATAGGCCACCACTCTTGCCTTCTCCTGGTTCACCTCCTGTTTTTTCACTGCCGCCGATTTCATGGTTACAGCCTACCAAGCAGTTACGGGTCTTGATCTTAGCTTTACAAGGAGGATCATTCCAGGTGGGCTTCTACAGCTACAAAACCTGTTGACTTCAGTGAATCGGTGTCTTGCTGTTGGATGTGAGAGATCCAATCTGAGAGGTATATGCAGCCAGAGATGTTTCACACCTCTTCCTCTGGGAAATACGGCAGGTCTGGTTAATGTAGTTCTCAAGGCTGTTATTTATGTGGTTCCCAAGTAGAATCTATGTTCTCTCGCAAAGGTTTTTGAGTATCATGTCCTCCTATAGCAATTAGCACTCTAATCACCCTTTCACCAAAGAGCCAGTGTAGCAATTTCAGTCCATTGATTTGAGATGGTCGATATCTGTCATACCCTTTACGTGTTAACAAATGGAATAAAGCTAGTTGAACCTAAAAGTTAATCTCTTTACATAAGATTTGAATTTTAAAGAATTGGAAAAAAAGATTAGACTTAGAATACCAGTAACATCATTTTTGGTAATAATAGCACCTCAATTAGGCTTTGTACGAAAGTACTTAACACACGATGAACTTTGACAGTGTACAGAGGCTCACCAAGGAACAGCCTTGTGCTGGCCTGGTGTGTAAGGCGTTCTGTAAGACATGCTTAGATGTTTGTTTTCACTTAGGAAGACTTTACGCCAACTTTGAGGGGAGCCATACACACTTAGATACCTCAAAGTTGATTTGTTCTTTTTCTTTGTAATTACTATGATACAAGAAGATGCATGTATGATGCAAGAAGATGGAAAATATGCATCATTGTGTCTCCTGCCTTCCAGCTCCTCCAGCTTCTTGCTTAGTTCCCATCTCATTAGTAGCATGCTTCTCTGTATGGTTGGGTATAAAGGCTTTAAATCGATAATGCTGAGAGGTAGCACAGTTGCTGGTCTGCCTCGGGCATTGTGGAAAAGACAGCAACAGCTAGATTTCCCACTTCATTCAGCAGGTTAGTGAAATGAGGATTTGTAGTTCTCATTTGGAAAGCATTGGAAGGCCCTGAGAAGCTTGTCATCTGCTAGGCAAAAGTCAGAGATGATATTGGAAGTACGAATGCAAGGAAAAAAATGTCAAAAGGGGAGCCATGCATAATAGCAAAGAGAAGCCAAGGGAAGTGTCTTTTTTTTTTCTTTTTTAAAGGGAAATGGGTATTAGTTGAAAAATTTGGAAGTTCTGTGTGAGCTGTTAGGCACAGTGTGATGCCACTGGCTTCAGGGGCTTGGCCAAGGCGCAAGACCTAGGACTGCACCTGCAAACCAGTAGCCGAATTCAGTTTGAATGTTTGCTGTAACCACATCTAAATACAGTCTGGGGTTGAATCTGCTTGCCAGGAAAGAAGAGTCTCACAAAGAAGTACAATAAACAGTGGACTGGTGTCTTCCCTAGGAAGCTGGCCCTGGTGGTTACATACATGGGTGGTTAATCTGCTTCTGACCTCCAGCTGCTCCCTGAGCTTCTGCATCATCGTGGCTACTGCATTTCCCTGTAGGCATCAGCAGGGCTCCGGGAGTGTTTCTCCATGCCTTTGTGCTGCAGCGAGCTGAATCCACTGGTGAATTCTCCCAACAGTATGAGCCTTTGGGCAGAGAGGAGGGAAAAATGTTCAGAAGAGCCAGCTACCTGCAGTTTCATCTTTCAAGACTTTGTGGGGTGCAGGGGCAGTGGCGGGAGGTGCTTTCAGCAGGCAAACAATAGAAAACTTGCCTGCAGTAATCTTCTACAGTGAGGCATTTGTGTGGGTGTTTGGACAGCTTCCCTGGTGGAATGTTTATTTTTGCTTCTGTATTCTTAGCAATACATGTGAAGGAGTATGCTGTGCAGGCCTGTTGCATGGTCCAGTGGTGGTGGAAATATTAACTGAAGGAATAGGTTTGGGCTAATGTGCTGACCGGATCTTTCGGTCTTTCTGACCTTCTGGTCACAAGGTCTTTCTGATCTTT